CGCGGACCGCGCCCCCGGGTTCCGGGAAGTTCTCCAGGCCCCGCCCTCCGGGGCTCGGGGCACGACGGTGGCTGCGCAAGGTCCCACCTCCTATCTCGCCCCCGCCGCAGGGTGCTTTCCGTGCGGCGCTGGGTCGCGCCAGCTTAGTGTCCCGAGGACCTGGCCCAGGCACATCGCCTCGCTCGATTTTCAGTTCATGCCGCCTCAGGTGAACTCCAGGGGCTTAGCGATTCAGAGCATTGGGAGCCACCTGAGAGATCACCTAGAACAACGTCGTTCAGACTTAAGAAAATCAGTAAGGCTCTGTTCTTTATAACAAAATCTTTTTGCCAAAGTCCAAAATCAAAAGGAGAAATGGATTGAGGCACGGGAAGTGATAACGACTTGAGTTTCCTGTCCCAGAAGTCCTTCCACCCTCTGCCCAGGCCATGGCCACCCGCAGCCCCAGCCCCTCCAAGAAATCCAGGGCCCGCAGGGGCACCAGGTGAAAACCCAGGCTCTGGGCCAACCCTCCCATGTACTGATGAGGAAGCGGAGGTTTCTAGAGAAAGGCTGGGAGAGCCTGGGTCAGCAATTGGACAGCAGACTCTGGAAAGGGACCAAGGTCCCCACCTCCCTGTTCTTCACTGCCTGAAGCATAACCCCCTCTCTTGCTGGCAGAGCCCCTGCCCTGGGATGCTTTGATCCGCTGGCTCCTCACTAAGGCACCAGCACCAGGCTTGCCTTCCCACTCTGTCCAGCTCAGCCGGATACCACCCCCCACTTCCGCAGCCCACCCAGTGTGCACACTTGGCTGGTCCCTGCTTTGCCCGTGGACACCAAGTCTCAGGTACCACCCAAGCTTGAGGCTTTCCAAGACCAAGTCCCCTCTGAACACCCACTGAGTTGGGGAGCCCACGCCTTCCCCCCAGAGCCCAGTGGTACCCACCTTCGCTCTCAGGAACAGAGCAGTGATAACGACGCCATAGATGAAGAGGATCCCATCCAACAGGTAGCAGAGTTTGGGATCGAGCAGGCCGAAGCTCTGTGCCGCTGTGTCAGGAGATGAGATTGGTCAACCAGGTGGCCCAGGTGGCACAACATGTCCCCACAACCCCGAGGGGGCCATGACCGGTCAAGGAAATCATGACAGGGGACTGGATCCATTCTTCATACCCCTCTGACCACAACCACGCTTCTACCCACTGGGACCAACCCCTGGGAAAACCTAGCCTGCCCTAACAACCTAGTGCCCCAACATGGCACCTGGTGGGGCCACGAGCTCTGGAAGACAGGAGCGAGGCAGAAACCAGATGGGAAGGGGAAACTGTCGCTGCCCACAGGACTGCTATTTAGGGCGTGGGAGCCCAGCTGGGTGTGAGCACCATCTGAACCACACACTCTGGACGCCTCTGTAAGATGCCCACCTCTGGATGAGTGGTACCACCACGGGGATTAGGGTCTGTGGCTCCCCGAGGCTTACCCACAGGCGGAGAACGGGACTGAAGGTCAAAAGAGATAATTTCAACCTCTTAATTTCAACTTAATTAGGACTGTGAGAACCTGGGTTAACTCTTCCTTCCTGACTCCCTGCTTCCTCGGTGTCAGGCACTGAGCAGTGGGATCTGGTGCTGGGCTTCCCTCCCCTGGGCCCTGAGGGGTCTCATGAGATGAGGTGCTTTGGTGGTCCCCCCTCCACTCTTGAACCTGGCAATCTCCCTGCTCACCAGTCCTAGTTCCAAGTCCTCAGCCTCATCCCTCCCTCTCTGCTCCCCTCGCCCACACTTGTCATTCCCAGGACACACCTTGCTCTTGCAGACTGTTTGCTTCTGTCCGCTCTATGTAGTCTCTCCCTGTAATACAACCATCTGATGCAGCCTACAAAGTGCTGCTCAGAGGTCCCCTCTGTTTAGGCTGTTCCACCCCACATTGTCAAGGAGCCCCTAATCCCTACTGCCATAATAGCCTTTGTCAAACTATAGTATGCATATTTAATTGGGCACTGGCATTGGAATGCAATCTGGTTGAGGAAGGGGGTACAATAAATAAAAACATTTTTATTTGAAATCTTACTGCACTGTGAGTGAGGAGACAGATTTTAGTCTAGACTGTTCTTTCTACCAGGCAAGTGTGCGGAAATCCAAGCTGTAAAACGGGGCATAGTACACGGCTCACTCCAGCCCTGCCTGGTATTGATAGGAGCAGAGGTCCCGCGGCCGCCTCCTCTCCCGAGGCCGGGGCGCCCTCTGGTGGCCGCCTGCAGGCCTACGTCGGGGCTAAGAGAATGGATTGCGTGCACTTGAACGCTGCCTTATCCTTACTAGCTATGTGACTTGGAGCGAGTTATTTATCCGAAGTCAGCTGCCTCTTCTCTTGACCGGGGTGAAAACTGCCACATTTCTTTAGTGTTCACTCCGTAGCAGACACTGCTTTGATGTAACAACTTGTCAGATCCTCGCAACAGCACCACACGGACGCGGAGGCACGGAGAACCTCAGCTTTAGCCAGGAGCACGCACAGCAAGTGGGAGGCAGCCCAGGACTGCCCCCCGCAGCGTGTCTCCCCTCCCTTTCCCCTCCTCCCCTGGGCCCAGCCCTGCCCATTCTCCTGCAGGAGCAGCGTTTTGGCTTCTCCTGCACGCCTGGGAGCGGGTTAGTCAAGGCTGCCCCAGAGTCCCGCCCCGCCAATCCCTCTGTCCTCAAACCTTTGGCTCTCTCCCTAACTCAGGACTCCTGCTGGCCCCAGGCAATGATCTCTGTAAAATTCCCAGTCCCTGCTCAGACACCATCAGCCTCTCAGTCTTTCTGAGCAAAGTCCAGCCCTGACCTAGCAGTTCAGATCCAGTCCCTACCATGCCTTCTCCCCACACGGCCCGGCTCCTCGGGCTCCACCCTCCTGCCCTCCCTCTGGCTGGTTCCTCTTCCTGGCCTGCGGTTGCTAGCACCACCCGCTCCACTCAACAGCTGCTGGAATGGGACTCCTCCCGTCACTGCCACAGCCCCTAGTGAGAATGCATTGTGCTGATGGAGGTGCCAGAGCTTGTCTCCCAAATTGCACTGTACAGACAGCCTGTGTTGGGTGACCAGATCCTGCTCCATCCAGGCTGTCAGCACTGGATTACAATGGCTGCACCTTCATTTATGGCTCGTCCTCCACACCACCATCAGAGCACAGAGCACGGGGGAGACATTCACTAAACAGAGGGAACTTTCAGGGATGATGCCAGGGCCCCCCCCACCCAAGGTTGGCCTGCCCTCTGGCCCTGAGGGAGCGCCAGAAGCCCCCACTGACCGAAGGTGGGAGTCTGAACGTCTCTAGGAGACAAGCCAGCCGCCCAGCAAAGGCCACCAAAGCTGGGGTGATTTTTTTTTTTCTTTTAGGACTGGAGAGGAGGTGTCAGCAGCGATTTATGGGGGTGGTTGAGATTCAGAAAAAGGGTTGGGAGAAAATCGCTCAGTTGCCTGTCACATAAAATGAGAACAGAAAAATTGCTGGACAGTAAATTTAGAACAAATAAGAAGAAATATTTCTTGGTGTTGTGCAGAGCCAGCGTGGCGAGGGTGGCGGGGATTGAGAGCCTCCCCAGAGATAAGTAATAGGGGCAAGTTTTCCTTCCTTCCTTTCTTTCTTTCTTTCTTTCTTTCTTTCTTTCTTTCTTTCTTTCTTTCTTTCTTTCTTGAGCAGCATGATTTTATGACCAGTGACAAGTATGCTGTATGTGGTTTGGTCGAGGAGAGGCTATTTATCGCTACGCACTTCCCAGCGTAGGGACCCTCTCTCTCCCTAGTCCAGCTGTGTCTGTGCTGGGAGGTATGGGCCTGAGGAAGGCAGTGATAGTCCAGAAAGTTCCTTGGAGGGACCCAGGACCTAATTCAATTACGTGATTAAGTAAATATTTATTGGACTTCTGCTTGATGTCAGAGAATGTTGAAATAGAAAGAGCCCTGGACTGGGTGTCAGGTGGGTTTAGCCCTTCCCCTGCCACTAGGCAGCTGTGTGGTCTTGGACAAGTCACTTCACCAGTCTGGGCCTCAGTTTCTCCATCTGTTAAATGGTGGATAATCTTATCTACCTTAAGGGTGTGGTGAGAATCAAGTAAGAGAACGTATTCGTGGGTGTTTCTGTAAGTTTCCTTCATAAGGACAATGATGTCTAACATTTCGGTAGGGTCTTCCGAGTTCCTGCCTTCATGGGGCTTATGGCTTAGCTTAAGAGGCCAGGCCCAGGGTGGAGGGGCTTCCCTTGAACAGCAGACAGCTTTCCAAGATGCCAGCTCAAAGGTACAAATCATAGACACTCCCAGGAGTCCAGCTTCTTCCTTGTCCTCTCCACCCACAAGGAAGACACCTGTTCGCCTCTTTCCCTGAGCCACTTGTGCATCTTGTTTCTGCATTCAATTTAAAAGACAGGCATTTGATGGGGTTATATGGTGGCTGTTTTCCTATCCACCTGGAGAAGCGGTTTTATCTCATGCGCCTCCTGTCCCCCACCCCAGATCCACAGCACCAGGAGAACCCCAGTGTTTGAACAAGTACCCAGATACTGATTGAGGGTTCTCACACAGACCCTGGATCCTGGCTGCATATTAGAATCACCCCCAACCCCCCAAGTTCTCATTTAATTGGTCCAGGGTGGGGTCTGGGCATGAGCATGGGCTGGTGCCCGGCAGGGTTGAGTTTCACTCGTGCACAGCCTTCCATAGCAGCACAGCCACACCCTACAACAAGTATACATTTCGCTGCCAAACAGAGACAAAGAACGAAATTAAAGCCTCAGTCTCTCATCTGCACTGTAATTTTTGTGCACTTCTGAATGGTGTGTTATTGAACTTGTCTAAGCCTCAGTTTCCTCATCTGTAAAGTGGGATAATAATATTCCCTGTCTCATTAGGTGGTGGTGAGGCTTAATTAAGATAATTATTATGGGGTTCAGGACCAAGCATGTAATAAGTGCTCCATAGGTCAGCTATTGTTGTCACCGTGATTTTTTGTCCCAAATCATCACCCATGCATGTATTTGAGGGAGAAAGGGTCAAATCATATCAGGGAATTTTAAGCCTGTTAGGACTAGGGACACTGATCTGCCTAGCTTCTGGGTGCTCCCAGCTGCACAGGTAACCAGACCCTGCACGTGAGGTGTCACCATGAAACCAGCCAGCATTTGATGAGGGGCTGCGGTCTGAGCAGTCACGTGATTTCCCATTCAGGGGGTGCTGCCTGTGTATCAGAAAAGTAGTGCTGAGGAAAACAAAGACAGAACTTAGCAATAGCCTCCCAGCCCAGGCCTGAACATGATGGTGGCCTCAGGAAAGGGGATCTCGCCCTGTTTACAAAGCAGGAACGTGGTGTTCCCAGCTGAGCTGCAGGGTGAGAGCTGGGGGTGGGATCTGACGCTGTGAGCCTTTTCCCATCCAACCTAGGTCTCCAGGAGCTGCTCTTTGGTCCCCTGGCACCAGGCAGCTCAGCAAAACTGAGAATTAAGGGGATTCTACCCCAATTTGCCAACCCCACTCCAATTTACCCAGGTCCAACAGGTGACCCAATCCACAGGACACAGCCCCAAGCCCCCTGGACCAGCACAGCAGGACAGACACATGGCAGGTATGGAACCGAAGCCCGGCTGGGCTGGAGCACACCTGGTGCTGCTGGGTTGGAATTGTCTCACAGGTGCTCCCAGATCAGGCCTCACTCAAGGTGGCCAGGCTGAGACAGAGCAGTTCTATAGGTGATTCTAATTACTTCAGGCCAAAGTACAACCCCAATAGTCCCTGGAGGAAAAGCAGCCTGGAGCCTGGGAGGACTGGCCCTGCACACTCAGGTGCTTCCAGCAGCGGACTGGAACCCTGGGGACCAAGGGGAGCCTGGCCTGCAGCCCGCAGTTGTTCACGACCAGGAGATCACCAGCCAGCAGTCTCGCTGTGGTCCCCATCACAAACTGGGTGCAGCTCTGAATGGCCAGGGCCTGGCTGAACTGGGACTCTGGATTCCAGGTGTTTCCTAGCCCCCATGTCATCACACTGTCATCCACCAGTTAGGCATTGATGACGTGGTCCG